GCCGAGTGGATTGGGGTCGTTCGTGGTGGTTATTACTGCGTCCGTGTGTTGTCATCGTGCAATGAACAGTTGTTGTTTTTAATTCATTGTTCCTGAAAGTGACTCTTTCAGGTTGTTTGACCGTTTTATTGTGATACTGCGATGTCTAATCAGACTCCTTATATTGGGAGTAAAATAAGTCTGATATCGAAACTCGATATCCGCTATGAAGGAATACTCTACACTGTTGACACAAACGACTCCACGATCGCTTTAGCTAAGGGTTTGTTCCAAGGCCACTGGATATTGTTTATTGGATCTGTGATTTTTCAATCGGGATTCTTTGCAGTGCGGTCATTTGGTACGGAAGACCGTCCAACGCCGAATCCTGTCGAGGCACGTGACGATGTTTATGAGTACATCATATTCAAAGCGAACGAACGACATAAAGGATCTTATTGTATGTGAAACGCCAAAGGTGAAGGGACTCATTTATTATGATGTTTGTTCTTTACCATCATTCTTATATTACAGGTTGCAACACTCGCGGGTGGGCTTCCTTACGACCCAGCTATAATATCCGTGTCCGCTCGGACAGGATCTGCTTCTGCCAACGAACAGCAGGCTTCCGCCGGCTCTTCTCGCTCGGATACACCGCATCATCGAACTAGCCCGAATTTAGCTCAAGGCAACTCTCGAAGCGCCAGTGCTGGTCGAATGCAGCGGCCTCGTACGAATCGCGGAAACTCTTCTGCCCGCAATCAGTGAGTTCGGAAATTCGTTTTCAGGCCACGTTGTATTACATGATCGCTTCCAGACGAACTGACGGGTGGGAGAAAATATATTTGCGGGTTCAGAGATTCGCGGAGTAGTGAGAAACTGCGCTAAAACGAAGGTATAGCTGTCGATCTGAGGAAATGCGAGCCTGGGTAAATGCTGAACCTGCCAGAAAGTTTTACTGGAATTCCTCTAGCCCCTCCACACACAGATCGCGCGAGTCTTGCAGGATCGCGCAGAATCTGCGGTGAAAAGAATACATTATCGATCTTGGAAGAAACCACAAACTTCGCGAACGGCGAAGAAACGGCACCTTACAGTGGGCCCACGGGTACCGTCTTCTTCGGCCATTCCGGCGATTCTTCTAATTTTTGCGCATTCCGCGAAACCAACGGATTCTTCAGAGCGACGAGATATGCATTCTTTTTCCGCAAATCCGCGGACTCCACGAAATTTGTGTCCAGAACGCGGGGGGGGGGCGGCCGATTCGGCATTTTGTCTCAGTTATGAGGCTAAGCGATCAATTCAGGTCAGAAAAGTCTTTGTCCGTCATTCGGCGTTTCTGCTGGTCTGCATTTTTTTCCCATTCTGCGGTTCCTCAGATCGATACTTCATATATCCACAGTTTCTTCGTATTCTACAAAGTCCTCATTTATAAATTGTTTGGCTTGATGTTTCCTTGAGGACACTGCAAATTTCAAGCATACTGTATGGAGTTGAAGTTTTATGGAGGATTTGAACTCGATATTGAAGTCAGATTTTCAGCGCATCCAATCGGTTCGCAAAATCGACAGTTCAACAATGGTTATCCTCGTGGCGGATACAACTATGCGGGTCAACGTCCCCGCAACAATCAGAGTGTTTGTTTGGTTTTGGGGGTTCCCGTCCTCGTGAAAAAGCTTGAAGTTTCGATGGTGATGTACGATTTGAGGAAGCCAAACGTAACAGTTTCCGGAAGAACAGTTTTCTGACATGTTCAAGGATAAGCTGAAGGTTGTTCTTCCTTCCTATAGACACATAAAAGAACTTACTTTGGCACTATTGAACTATTCCTACCCCTGTATTCCGAAATCAGGCTGGTTTTTTACTGACTTCTTTCTACGAGGGCAGATCTGGATGCAAATTTCAGGGGTAATTCGACCTCCTGAACACGAATATAGCATCCACTCAGCCCGAAACTGCATGGCGCCTGCGCTACAGGCGCCGGCGCCGAGAGCCTAAATCACCAAAATTGCTGAAAACTTGTCCCTAGGGGTAGTTCGGCTTCCTGAACACTATCAGATCCGCTTGGTGCTAAACTTGCCGGGGGGGGGGGGGGGGGGGGGGGGGGGGGGGGGGGGGGGGGGGGGGGGGGGGGGGGGGGGGGGGGGGGGGGGGGGGGGGGGGGGGGGGGGGGGGGGGGGGGGGGGGGGGGGGGGGGGGGGGGGGGGGGGGGGGGGGGGGGGGGGGGGGGGGGGGGGGGGGGGGGGGGGGGGGGGGGGGGGGGGGGGGGGGGGGGGGGGGGGGGGGGGGGGGGGGGGGGGGGGGGGGGGGGGGGGGGGGGGGGGGGGGGGGGGGGGGGGGGGGGGGGGGGGGGGGGGGGGGGGGGGGGGGGGGGGGGGGGGGGGGGGGGGGGGGGGGGGGGGGGGGGGGGGGGGGGGGGGGGGGGGGGGGGGGGGGGGGGGGGGGGGGGGGGGGGGGGGGGGGGGGGGGGGGGGGGGGGGGGGGGGGGGGGGGGGGGGGGGGGGGGGGGGGGGGGGGGGGGGGGCGCCCGCGCGAAAACACTAGATCACCATGTTGAACACCTGCATACGAGGGTGATTTGACACCTTGATTACGAATATGACATTCATTCCTGGCGCCGGCGAAGGCCGCGCTCATAGCTTGCGACCGTGTAGAAACGCAGAAATGCGGAAACTGCAGAAGTGCGGAAAGTGCGGAATCTGCAGAACTGACGAAAAGCAGTAGATACGTATCGATTTGGAGAAATGCGGAAACTGCAGAAGTGCGGATTCTGCAGAAATGCAGGAAGTGCGGGAAATCGATACGTATCATGTTTTTCGTCATTTCTGCAGATCCCGCACTTTCCGCACTTATGCAGTTTCCACATTTCTTCATTTCTGCATTTTCTGCAGATTCCTGCAGTTTCGGCATTTCTGCATTTCTTCAAATCGATATGTATACAATGCTTTTCGTCATTTCCGCAAATTCCGCATTTCTTCTTGGTCGCAAGCTATGAACGCGGCCTAATTTAGGACACTATGATCATCTGCCCTTTTGCTAGGGGCGTGGTCCATTATTGGCGCCGCTCATGTGTCGAGAAATAAGCGGCCGAAGTGCGTCAAAAATAAATGCCGTGTTCGTGATCGAGATGTCAATTAACCCCTGTATACAAGTTTTCACCAACTTGATGAGAAAAAGTGGTGGCGTCATGTTGGCGCCTTCTGGCGCCAAAGGCGCCAGCACCAGGAACGAATGTCATTTTCGTGATGAGGACATTGATTAACATCTATGAGCAAATTTTCAGCGAAATTTTTTTTTAGTTCTCGGAGTAGGAGTAGTTCAGTAGTGCCCTTATTTTGAATTCCATTACGTCAAAAAAGAATTCGAACTTGTTCACAGTGTTTTGCCCTGGGGAAAACCCGGAAAAGCAGAGTTATCGCTGGGGAGAATCGGCCGTAAAGAATATACGCATTGCTTCCTATCGACTCCGCCCGATCGGGGAGCCGGGGGATGGTCCCACGATGTGATGTGACTTGTACGATCCTTCTACTCTTCGCGGTTCTCTCTGCGGGTCAGCCATGAACAGTGGTTCAATACGTGCTCACACTGCACGTCCATTGCGTGCACGTTCCGTGCCCTTTTCTGCTTTCGAAAGGTTCACCTGCCATGACAGTTTCATTCCCTTGAAGTGTTTAGCTGTCCCATGAATGGTTTTAGCTGCTGTTGGGGTTGTTGCGGTCATCCATCAGTGGAACTTTTTTTGTGCAGGTAGTTCGATGTAATAGACGGATGACAGTTGTCACCATCATTGGGAAAGGTGCAGTCATACTTTGCAGTTGTTGAATATCCCCATTTGGAAAGGAAGTGTGAGAAATAAAGTTCTGAAGAATGGGCTCGCTAGCGTTTTCTGAAAACCTGCGATCACAAGGTTATCAATCAAATTCCACCTGAACCTTCGTCGCCAATTCTCCCGGATCGCGAATTCACCACATTCCTAAAGAGTGATAGTGAAATAAAAGATATGTAAGGTTCACATGTCTGACTGGACGCGATTTGACTTATTCTTTTCTCAGTGCAGGTTCTGTTCACAGTTAATGCAGAGCGTTCTTGTAGGTCGATGGAGAGAAAAGCGAAGAGGAGCAAGCTGAGAAAGTTCCTGAGGACACTTACTACGACAAGAAAAGCTCATTCTTTGACCGCATTAGCTGTGAGGCCTTGGAAAAAGCTGAAGGAAAGAGTGGACGTCCGGATTGGAAGAAGGAGCGAGAGACGAACCAGGAAACTTTTGGGCACTCTGCTGTTCGCTCACTGAACTACCGTCGTGGATTTGGTCAACGCGGACGCGGTAATCGTGGATATGGACGTAAGTTTTTAATTTATTGGTTTCAATGGTTATAGCTTTTTGGTTTCTATGTTCAAGTTATGGGGACCTTTGCTGAAATGTACTGAAAGACGGTACTGAAGGTGCATTCTAGATGTTTGCTTTTGACAGCCCCTTTATCAATAGGCGTCCTAGTTGCTCATGACCATGTTTTTGCTTCGAAGTCATTGGGAGGCTGTTGAAGCTAGGCGTTGTTTTTCCACACGCTTGATCTTCCATAGTGGACTTGTGGACGCCATCCAACTAAGAAAAGGTGTTCAAACGGTGATAAGCACTATTTAGCTTAGAAGGAAGGAACTGTGCGATAGATGAACGAGTTCCTAAACGCTCCACCTTTGATGATATCATGAATGGTTAACTTCCTAATTGCAGGGCCGGTCATGTTGGGGTGGGGAGGGGGGACACTTTTTCCAGATGCGACCTTCCCATTTCTGACTGAGTAATAGGGGAAAAAGCGTTTTATCATTGCAGCACAAGCATCCGAAATGGGAAAATTAACAGCTAGGGGTATCGTGTGTGTGTGTGTGGTGTGTGTGTGTGTGTGTGTGTGTGTGTGTGTGTGTGTGTGTGTGTGTGTGTGTGTGTGTGTGTGTGTGTGTGTGTGTGTGTGTGTGTGTGTGTGTGTGTGTTGTGCCTTATGATGGTGAAAGGTGAGAAATTCATTCAAGAGACCGTCGTTTCGACTTGGCCGCTGGAATAAAAGTACCACCTATCAACCTGTCAGACACATCAAACCAATACAAGCTACAACTAACTATGATAAGACTGTAAACAGAAAGAAGCTGTGGAAACAACAACTATATTTCTTCCCTAGCTTAGTACAACCTGCTCCTCTGTATCCGAATGTTACTCCCAACCGTGTTGACTCCGTTCAACAGGGGAGTCACGAGTCACTATCTTTCGTTTCTGAATACATTATGTAACTCTCTTGGCGTTGTGTACTCTTTATTTTGTTCTCGCGATCCTGCAGTTCTGGGCTGGGCGCCAGTGTGTGCAGTGCCTAAAAAATAGCGAGATATTCTTTCGAAATCATGGACAAATTCTGATAGTGGATCGCCATTTAAGTAGTCCAGAAAAGAGCGGGAAATTACTACAGTCTTGGCGCTAAACAAGCTTTTCCGTTATATTTATGTCGTCCAACATTTCCGTTGTCAAGCTAGTAATCTTTGATTTTAGGACCTGGTGATGGTCGCTACATCAACAATTTCAACAGGAACTACAACAATTTCCGTGGTGGATATGGGAACAACAATGCGAACGCTCGCGGAAGAGGTTTCAATAGGGGTGGATATCAACAGAGCCAGCAGCAGTGAGAAAATTCTTTGATGAGGGGATAATAAGTACTCTGCTTTTACATAATGTAGAAATGTTGAAAAGCTATTGCTCGTCTTTCATTCGGTTCTTGTTTCGAGCTAGAGCTTGGTTATCCCCGCACCTTTCGGTGGAAGAAAGCTGTCTGAGCCTGTTAAAATTCCTTGCTAGTCTCTGTTATGGACGCCGGCTAGTATTTTTACAAGTTTCGTTTCGGATGTGCGTGTGGTTTTTAAGATCTAGTTTTTTTTTGGATGTTTTTTTGTTGAACTGCGATGTGCATGAGTTATCGGTGTAGTGTGTTGTTTTTTATGGGACCACAGCATAACAGCATATATATCTTAGTTTGTTAACTTGCATCATCTTTGTTTGTTGGATATTTATACATTCAATAAAGCTTAATAGGTGCTGATGTGTCGCATTCATCACTACGTTTGAATTTCATATCAATGGCGTTCTTGGGCTTTTCACTGTGTACGTATATCGTGTATCTGATCTACTGACATGAGTGGAGGCTTATTTTCTTCTCTGGTATGGTTGGTAATTTCAGTGTTCTGCTCCATTTATTTTCGTTTATACCTAACAGGATCAAATTTGCTATTCCTTGTAACTACCACTCGGCGGCCCTAAAGTGGATAGCTTCTTTGCCTAGTTAATTGTAGCCTTGTTAGGGGTTTTTGCAAGGTTTGTTTGGAGATACTTCAAGGAAGGGCCCCCCTCGAACCTACGTCAATGTGTTTCGAGTGGTATTGCTGAATAAGTTTCGCGTCTTTTCTGCTTTAGACTGCGTGTCATACTTTGGCGGTAGTGTTATGGGCGTATGTATCAACGTTCGAGCGGCTAGGAAGCTGCAGAAATTTTAGCGTTTTGAGTGACTGTCAGCGCTTTGAGCGATAATCGATGGTGATTCATTCAAAGTCGCTCAAAACGTTTGTGTACGCTTATAACACTAGGTCGCCGTCCATAGTTTCCTAGTCGCTCAAGACGCGGCTTACCCTTGAAGCGTGACAGACGCTCACAACGGCGGAGCAAAGTATGGACACTATTGCAGATGGTGTCTCTTTTTTACCCAGCATGGTTGTGAGCTGGAAACACTGTTTCGTTTAATGGTTCTGGTCTATTTCGTGTTCTCGGATAAGCTTACTAGCATGTGGGGACTGGTATTCTACTGGTTGTTCGACCTAGCGCCTCATCTCTTCTTCTGGGGTTCTGACAGTAGCTCAGGAGATTCTGTCAATAATGCGAGTTCGAGCGCTTGCGCTCGCATTGCATCACGGTAATTCGAGTGAGTCGTGGTTCTTCAAGAACTGGCGCTTGCGCGTTGTCCTTGTCAAGCTCACCCTCTTGCAAAACGCAAGAGAGCATTTATGATCGCTTGTTTTGGCTTTTGTATCCCTTGGAAGAAGATTCACGGAAGCTCATCCATACTGAATAGAAATTAGTCCCTTTCTGAGCAAAACGTAGAGCGAGTGGAACAGGCTGATTAGCTGACATTATGAAGCTGGATCGTTGTGCCATTGACGTGGGGTACTTGAAGCCCCTTACTTTCCCTGGTTCTTATAGCTTGTATTCGTTTTGTCCCATTCACCCATGCGTTTTTCCTGTTCTGATTTAAGGAATTTCCGTTATTTCAAAGAAAGCCGATTCTTGATTGAAAAGATACCCTTTTAAAAAGCCACGAGAAGTAAGAATTTATGTTTGGGAAGCCGGTTTGATTTAACGAGTCGTCTTCAGCTAGTGCTTTGAATCCGATCACAGTTCTTCGTCACGCTGTTTGTTTATTTCTTCAAGATAAAATCTCCGTTGCTGATTAAGGTGACCCAAACGGAGTTTGCGTTGATGGCGACACCTACCGCTACTTATTGATCGAGTCTATTCGCAACCTTGTACAGGGACAGTAACGAGACGGCGTAGTCATTCAGCACTTGGGCGAGGTGCTTGACAGCACCAACCCTGTAGCTTCCGTGGAGCTTCCAAAGATGGTTGATTATTTCCGTGCACCTCCTTTCTACTGGTATTTAATTATCATTCCTGCACTTGGAGTGAATTTCGTGAGTTTTTCTAATGTTGCCTGCTTTTCTTTCTTTCCTACTTCCCACTTGAGCGGGGTGAAATCATGGCTGCAATGTTGTAAGATCTATTTTTGACCCTGTTTGTTTTGCTTTTTGGGTTCAGTTTCAAGTACAGTGACTGCTGGTTGCAAACACGTTTTTCTGCAATCAGGTCTTTGATTTCCGTTTTACCCAATCGCTATTTTTTTGGGCGCTAAAAGTTTTTTTGGAAATCTTAGAACGTTGTTGCTGTTTTTTTCGGTTTTTTTTTGAGCGGACCCTTATTCACAAGTTTATGGATTACTGAGGTTGGAGGTTCCTCGGTACCCCTGCGAAAGAGCTTCTGTCTGCGGCAGAGCGTTTTGCACCTTGTGGTTTTCGGTTACCAGCTCCGTTTGAATCGCTCAGTGGCTCCACGAAGACAGAGAGGAGGAGAAGTCGAGGCAGCGCTGCAGCAAAGAGAACAGCTTGGGCCGGAATAGCTAAAACGAGGTGTGAACGCACTGCTGCAGGACAAGAAGCTCCTTCACAAGAGACGCCTAGAACTCGTTCAATGCTCATTCCATCAAATAAAGGTTTCCTCGGGTAAAAGAAAGCAAGCTTTTTTGTTTGATGTGACGGTGGCACGATGACATACATTGCAACATGGTCACGAGAGTGGTTGGTGGCTGAGCCTTTAGAGCGTTTTAAACCATGACAGCAGTCATCATACAGGGTACAGCTCGTTTGTGTGAACACATAGGGGGCTCGTACTTTTCGGCTGGGGAGGCGGGGTTCGTATTTGGTCGTTGTTGGGAGAGGGGGCTGTATGTGGTTTTGGTAGAAATTTGCCGCGTTGGGAAAAAATTTTTCCCGGTTGTTGACATTTCGCGTGATTTTTCTTGTATCATGTGTACTGTACCCCTGCCTCGACGCCGACAATTATGTGGCTTTGAAAAGCTGGAAAATGAAATGTAGTAGGTTTGCGGGAATGGGAGGGTCGTACGAGACTCGCTTAGCTGGGGGGGGGTCGTACCGAGACCCTCTCTCGTGAAGGGGGACTCGTGAGGGGAGTACTGACACCTCCATTTCACACATTACGATGCTGTACCCTGCATCCATACGGTTGGACTTCTTCATCTGTTCTTCCGACGCAACGATGGAAGTTGTCTCTCTTGGGAGGAGAAGATGCTGAATCTGTTTGGACAACAGTGAGGAAGAAACTGAACCTGTTCTCGCACAGAAGTGGAATAGCGCAGCTATTAAGTGTCATGCTGGTAGCGTGTCCTTTACGAACCGTAAATGTCACTTGCACTCCGCTTCTGCAGCTCCACTTCTTCACCGGACAACTCGTCCAGCTCCATCTTGATTCACATAACTGATCGATCATATTGGGTTGGCACATAAGTACTTTCGTTTTTTTTCAACCGGAAATTTCGTTCAAAGATGAAATGTTTTGCTAGCAAGCTTGATATCATCTGATAGGAAACTTCACGTAGTTTTAGAATATCAAAACGGCTTCGGTTGAGGGAATAATTTTTGTGGATTTTTTAGTCGTTGAAGTTGAAAGCGAAGTCGGCGAAAATTAGCACCTTCGACAACTGCCTCTATTTACGTATAGTCGAAGTGCTAAAATCGCTTAAGCTGCTCCATACATTTGGAAAAGGTCGAGCTAGAAGTTCCAGCAAGGGAATCTCACTAGGACGCTTTGGAACGAATTTCAAGAATTTTGAAGTTACCAACCTTCACCTCGCCGATATTGGGCAGCTCACGTCTGTTCCACCTGAAATTTTATGCTAATATTTGAATGTTTCGCTGATATGTTTTGCATGTTCTGATAGCAAATTTCGTGCTCTATAACACTGCTATAGAAATCTGTTCTCCAGAGGTGTTTGCTTTCTGTTAAGTTCAGGTTATCATTACGGAACGCGAAGTCGTTGAGAACTAGGGTTCCCGTTCTCCACGAATTTTATGCTAACATTTGAATGTTTCACTAATGTGTTCTATATGTTCTGATAGCCAATTTCGTGCTCTATAACACTGCGTTGCGGTTATTTTGAAAATCCGTTTGATGAACCTTGTTTTTTCAGGCTGATTATATGGAGTCGATAAGCATCAGCACTTCAGACATCTCCCCTTTTTTCGCATTCAGCAGAGGTATCAGAGCTGCTGATGCTGCTCGGGAAATTCGCGAAGTGTACGGAGAAGATGCTCCTCTCTCTCAAAACAGCCCAAAAATTGGTTCAGACGCTTCAAGAATGGTACTGATACCTCTGTTGAATGCGAAAAGGAGGAGATGTCTGAAGTGCTGATGCTTATCGACCTGACATTCCATATTATCCACCTGAAAAACAAGGTTCATCAAACGGATTTCAAAATAACTGCAACGCAGTGTTATAGAGCACGAAATTGTCTATCAGAACGTATAGAACACATTAGCGAAACATTCAAAAGTTAGCATAAAATAAGTGGAGAACGGGAACCCTACTCAACGCTGTTCGCGTTCTGTAATGATAACCTGAACTTAACAGAAAGCAAACACCTCTGGAGAACAGATTTCTATAGCAGTGTTATAGAGCACGAAATTTGCTATCAGAACATGCAAAACATATCAGCGAAACATTCAAATATTAGCATAAAATTTCAGGTGGAACAGACGTGAGCTGCCCAATATCGGCGAGGTGAAGGTTGGTAACTTCAAAATTCTTGAAATTCGTTCCAAAGCGTCCTAGTGAGATTCCCTTGCTGGAACTTCTAGCTCGACCTTTTCCAAATGTATGGAGCAGCTTAAGCGATTTTAGCACTTCGACTATACGTAAATAGAGGCAGTTGTCGAAGGTGCTAATTTTCGCCGACTTCGCTTTCAACTTCAACGACTAAAAAATCCACAAAAATTATTCCCTCAACCGAAGCCGTTTTGATATTCTAAAACTACGTGAAGTTTCCTATCAGATGATATCAAGCTTGCTAGCAAAACATTTCATCTTTGGAACGAAATTTCCGGTTGAAAAAAAACGAAAGTACTTATGTGCCAACCCAATATGATTGGGGAAGATGGGCGCATAGAAGTGAAGACACCGAATGTACTTGATAGCTTGGTTAGGGGGTGGAGGTGATGTACTTGACAGGTGGCGCGCTTACCATTCTCGCGGTCCTGGGTTTAAATCTCAGGTCGACTCCCACCCAAGCATTCTATCCTCCGGGGACGGTAAATTGGTATCAGATTCGTCTGGGAGGTTAAGAACACTGACTTGTACATCGGCTGGCCCGCAAGTATTGTATAGGCCACATCGCCTTCCATATTCCATAAGCCACTACCTCTGAATCTGAATGGAAGTAGAATGCCTGCCGCGTCCCACAGAGAGATTGACCAACGCTACGTCTTTATCCTTCCATTTTGACTCGGTTGACAATAGGTACCTTCGTCTACTTCTGAGCCGATTTGCGGCTTCTTTTCCCCGACCCTCCATTGCGGAAACCATCACTATTCTGCCACCTATCAGGACTAAAAAGTTACTCTATGAAAAATTGCGTTATAATTTATCAATAGGCTGTTGTTTGAGTGAGGTAAATGAATTCTAACTGCGAATTCGATGTTAATTTACTGCGAGCTGTTTGAAGTAGATTTCATCAAGACTCAAACTTACCCATGGCAGAACCATCTCCAAGTAGCCCTCTAAGCAGTCGAGCAGTATTGAGAAAGAGGGGCGAGGGAGGGGTGAAAAGAGCCGAAAATTAGCCCAGAAACAGGCGATCATGTGTAGCTGAGTAACCAATACGTAAATTGGTCTGTGCTTGGCTCGCTGCCCATTGTAAGATGACCAGTGTCATCGAGATGGTGTAGTCCTAGACGGAGATACCTTATGACAAAGGATGGCTTTAAGAGGCGGGATAGAGTAACAAGGGCGCACTAGACGGGGCAGAGACGAACAGTTGTGAGTGACGATTTTTTCAAGAGCTCGCGAGGTGGGTGTACTACTTACTGTGTAAAAGTTGTAATGTTTCAAGTACCGTGGTCATAGGACGCTACAGCAGAAGGAAATGCTTGTTGCTGGTGTTCCCAATGGCGGCTTCGCCTTTTCCATCATTAATATCAAAGAGCAAACGACAGGTCCTCTTCATAGCGATGAGTGGGTTAGTAAGCGTCCTACTTTTTTGCCCGTTCAGGGTTTGACGCCAGCGCCTAGGATGGTATGCTCCATAAAGATTTCCGTATACGCCTTCAGGAAGTTTACAGTGGACTAGGAAAAGGTTGCGGTTCCAAGTGCTACAAGCGAGCTCTTTTGAACAGCGGAACTTCCAGCTGAGCACATGAAAGTGTTAAAAATCATATAAACATTTTTAGCTCGCCTATTACTCACCTAACATTCTTCAACAGTATGTTCCTTTGATCGGACCCATGGCTGCTTATGTTGGTACTCACTATCACTGGATTACTGTATACACAAATGTCTTCGCATTAGTTGCCCATATTGGAGAAAGTCTCTATGCTTTGTATTTGTGCATGAAGCTGAAGTTCAGGTACGAGCGCTGTTCGTTCCGAAGAAAAAGACGTTAATCCTGTTTTTTTTTTCAGTATGTCATGTTCAGCAAGCTTGCGTCGTTTGTCGTGCAGACTTCCTTCTAGGATTTCCATCGCTTAAGATACTTAGTAATTTTGCATCGAAAACGAAAAGAAAACGTTGATTACTAGATTGAACATTGAAACCTGATAAATATTCTGTTTTGGTCATGTCTTAATTTTTTTGAACGTGGCGTTTTCTGATCAGGGCAGTTCCGAGGCGAGTACTGTATTGCGGATTTTATGTCGCTTAGCACGAATCGACGGGGCGTCGGTGAATTGTCGGTGTGACGTGAATTTTGGAGCAACGCCAGCTCATTCCCCCCCCCCCCCACTCGCGCTTCTGTTCTGCCCAATGACAGACGAGATGGTGCCCCATCGAAATACGGTCCTACTGGCACGTCCCGTCACTCAGTTCCTGAGGACTGCATAAGTTTCGTGCTTTTTCAGGTGACTCGTGAGAAAACAGGTCCAAGGCTGCTTGACTGGATTCATAATAATGCTGTTAATAGAAACTGCTGTTTTACGTGCTGCGACAATGATTGCAAATCATTTGCTTTCATATCTGAATATGGATTTGTAGACTAGAAATGAACAAAACGGAGGAGAAAATCGTCAGAGACGCCGCAACTAAAGCGTCCAGCATTGGACGAGTATCCGAACAAGCGACACGGCTGCACAGGGGAGAGCCAGCAGGTAAAGGATGATCTGAAATACGAACGAGGCGATATAAGTCGATCCCTAGAATGAAAGCAACGCGTTGTACCTGTTTTCATCAAAAGACTGCTGGCATATCTCGTCTCGGATAGGAAAGACACGGCGACGTACCGAAGCTAAATGTCTTTTAGAGGGCGCGCATACTTTGATTCAGGCATTTTGAAGAGTCTTGAGCGTTCATAGCGAACCTGTTATGTGGTGTGGAGCCAGTATTTGAGTATTAGCGTTTTAGAGTTCACCAGCGACGCTCGGAACGTTGGCGGACGCTCAAAATGCTGTCGCAAAGTATGAACGCAGTCTCAAAGGCGTACTTTCGGCTCATTACTGCCACGCCGTTCAGTTGCTCACTATGTAGTAGCGAAAGGAGAAAAGATCTGAGATTGCTGAATGTGATGATCGTGGAAAGTCTTTTTGAGACTGTCGCAGCCTCAGTAGTCCTTGAGATGGCGAAGAGATCAAAGGATACGGCAGTGAACACTTCTAAGGTTTTGAACCATGTATGGGCCTTTGATAAAGGCGGAAGCGCAAAACGTGTGCCGGATGCAATGAGAAATTGATCCATAAATAAAAGAAAGACATTTTGCACTTATGTGATGGAGGACTGGGTGAGCCTTTCTGCCTCATTGAGATTCTGGTAGCTTTTCCTAGCCTCCGAAGACTAGGCTGAGGTGGGCAACGGGGAGGAAGGAGGCAGTCCAGATTCAGAGTGTAACCCGCTGAATTCTCAGTCAAGTCCAGCCAGGTTTCTGAGGACGAGAGCGTGCTCGAAGCATTAGGCGATCTATAAAGTGTTCCACCCAAAGAACCCCTTCAATCTAAAAATGAGAATCCCGGTCAACATCAAGAAATGACGAGGTTGCAAGAAGAGATCTTGAAGTCGTTCTTCGAAATGTGTGAACGCTTGTGAATCTGATTGACCTTGTGCCTAATGATTTATCGGTGAATATTTTTTATGCAAAAATTGCAGTCATTACGTCATTATCAGATGGGGAACTCACCATCAGCAAAACAAGACAATATTGCGTTGAGCTTTGGAGTGACAAACGAGGCAACAGGTCAGGGAAGAATGGATTTGTATAGTCGTTTGGAAAGTTGTGACAGCGTTCAGAGTTATCCTTAATTATTAGGTCAATCCCATGTCTCAAGTGGCGATTTGGTTTTTTGAATAAAACAAAGAGGAGAATAGATAGAAAAGTGATATTTTAGCTTTAGGATGAGTAAATCCCTCCTTCACCAATGACCCGCTCCCAGTGCCCGAGGGGCCTTTGGACCTCTGGTACCTTCGATTTTTCAACAAGTGTGAGTAAATTGCTGTTGTTGCCAATTTCGGCAAATGACAAAACATTGTAGCGTCTGCCCTCCCCCCCAATTGGAGGCTACTCTCAAACTGAATTAGAACAGTTGTAATCGCATGGCTTTATGACGGGCGAATGGGGTGATTGAACCCAGGTCTCAGTATTGTTTGTGTCCCAGCACTGATCTACAATACAGTTACTCGGGGTCTGGCACTATGACGAGCAACGGTGGCCTTCTTGTAGTTGTGTGGTAGCATCCATTTGTCGATCTGAATGCCGAGGAACAGGCAATATGCACCGACAGTGACGGATTTGTTCTCTGTATAGAGCCCGCGCTTAAAGCCACAGTGGGGAATCTTTGCTATGATGATCATCCACTTGCGCCCACGTAACTCTTCATGGTAGAACTCGGGCGGCTTCTCATCTGCATTCATAGAAATTGCGATTGTGGAGTTCGGACTCGGAGGTCGAGAGCCACCCATATTTCATCTAGGCGGCGAGCTGTGCGTTTTTCACAGTTGTGAGTGACATCTCATGCTGAGAACATTACTGCTGGAGGTATAGAATCGGTACTGCGTTCGTGCTTCTATAAGAAAATTGGGTACCCATGCGCCACCCTCTTGACCATCCTCCGTTTATCGGACATAACTCGGGCAGCAGTTGCAGCTGGGATGTCAGACTCGCGGGGAAGCTCGACAAGGGTCCAGGCTCTGTGATCAGATATTCAGTGCCTGACTTCATCCACCCGTTTTTCTTGTGCAGGATGAATATTATGGGACCACCCACGACAACAAATTTTTTCCTTTCTTCCTTGTACGGGCTCCTGAACCAGATCTTCCACCGTGTATTTCGAGAACACCCTTACACACAACTATGGTCCGGCGCAGGTCAAATTTGAGCAGCGCACTTTCCTTTTATGACGTCTGATTTGAAAAACCGGCGCCGATTTTCACCACTCGGGCTTCTCTTCAATTTCTCGAGAACTTCTTCTGGGGCTAGGTTCGCCAAATTTCACAGATACACAGCTTAAGGTACTAGCTTCCAAATGGTATAGTAGCCCGCTGCTCTATCCCCTTTGCTTTTCTGCCATTCCTCTATATGTGTCGGCCACTTTGAATGGGATGACCTAATATTGGGTTGGCACATAAGTACTTTCGTTTTTTTTCAACCGGAAATTTCGTTCCAAAGATGAAATGTTTTGCTAGCAAGCTTGATATCATCTGATAGGAAACTTCACGTAGTTTTAGAATATCAAAACGGCTTCGGTTGAGGGAATAATTTTTGTGGATTTTTTAGTCGTTGAAGTTGGAAGTGAAGTCGGCGAAAATTAGCATCCTTCGACAACTGCCTCTATTTACGTATAGTCGAAGTGCTAAAATCGCTTAAGCTGCTCCATACATTTGGAAAAGGTCGAGCTAGAAGTTCCAGCAAGGGAATCTCACTAGGACGCTTTGGAACGAATTTCAAGAATTTTGAAGTTACCAACCTTCACCTCGCCGATATTGGGCAGCTCACGTTCAGCCCCGCCCCCCCCCCCTATGTTCCACCTGAAATTTTTATGCTTATATTTGAATGTTTCGCTATATGTTTTGCATGTTCTGATAGCGAATTTCGTGCTCTATAACACTGCTATAGAAATCTATTCTCCAGAGGTGTTTGCTTTCTGTTAAGTTCAAGTTATCATTACGGAACGCGAAGTCGTTGAGAACTAGGGTTCCCGTTCTCCACGAATTTTATGCTAACATTTGAATATTTCGCTAATGTGTTCTATATTTCTGATAGCCAATTTCGTGCTCTATAACATTGCGTTGCAGTTTTTGAAAATCCGTTTGATGAACCTTTTTTTCAGGTGGATAATATGGAATGTCAGGTCGGTAAGCGTCAGCACTTCAGACATCTCCTCCTTTTCGCATTCAACAGAGGTATCAGTACCGTTCTTGAAGCGTCTGAACCAATTTTGGGTTGTTTTGAGAGAGAGGGCATCTTCTCCGTACACTTTGCGAATCTCCCGAGCAGCATCAGCGGCTCTGATACCTCTGTTGAATGCGAAAATGAGGAGATGTCTGAAGTGCTGATGCTTATCGACCTGACATTCCATATTATCCACCTGAAAAACAAGGTTCATCAAAGGATTTTCAAAACAACTGCAACGCAATGTTATAGAGCACGAAATTGGCTATCAGAAAATATAGAACACATTAGCGAAATATTCAAATGTTAGCATAAAATTCGTGGAGAACGGGAACCCTAGTTCTCAACGACTTCGCGTTCCGTAATGATAACTTGGACTTAACAGAAAGCAAACACCTCTGGAGAATAGATTCTATAGCAGTGTTATAGAGCACGAAATTCGCTATCAGAACATGCAAAACATATCAGCGAAACATTCAAATATTAGCATAAAATTTCAGGTGGAACAGACGTGAGCTGCCCAATATCGGCGAGGTGAAGGTTGGTAACTTCAAAATTCTTGAAATTCGTTCCAAAGCGTCCTAGTGAGATTCCCTTGCTGGAACTTCTAGCTCGACCTTTTCCAAATGTATGGAGCAGCTTAAGCGATTTTAGCACTTCGACTATACGTAAATAGAGGCAGTTGTCGAAGATGCTAATTTTCGCCGACTTCACTTCCAACTTCAACGACTAAAAAATCCACAAAAATTATTTTTTTCTCTCATACGGAAGGCCGTTTTTGATATTCTAAAACTACGTGAAGTTTCCTATCAGATGATATCAAGCTTGCTAGCAAAACATTTCATCTTTGGAACGAAATTTCCGGTTGAAAAAAAACGAAAGTACTTATGTGCCAACCCAATACATACAGTTCTGTTTACTGAGGATGCTAGCGCGTCAAGGAAAGAGGATAGGTTTGTCATAGCTTCAACGTTCTCCACTGATTGTGGTTGCTTGCCAGCTTCCACAAATGGTGGGCTCTCCCTCTGAAACTCCCCAGCGTCCGCAGGGGACGAGACTATCTAGGGGGTCAGCGCAAGATTAGCTGTCTCTCTAAGGAAAACCCGCTGATCTACTCGGCTCGAGATGACTTAGAAATTGCCC